AATGATCATCAGTAATCATTTTTAATGACAGTTGTTTTCGCTTCATTTTTTTTTTTTTTTGCATACTGTTTATGAAATCAATAAAAATTACCTAATAATTGCCATGCAAAACTAAAATGACTGAAAGTACACACAAGAGAAAAATCTGAGAAAAATTCTAATGTTCGAATAAAATTTTAAATTACACTTTTTTTTTAGAGGTTTTTGCATCTGAACTTATCAGATATAGATGGTTGGATGTAGACAAATGTATAGATGGTTGAGAGAGTTATTTGAATGATATACAGATTTATACTGTAAATAGAGGGATAATATCTAGATAAACTTATCACAATATTTTTATGGTTTTAATGCCCATAGTCAATAAATCTTTAAAAAAAGAGCATATTATGAGCAGTTGAAGTAGTATCAGCACATTTACGGTAAAAGTTTAGTAACCGAAATCACCTGTTTAACAACAACAAAAGCATCTTTCAGACTTTCTCCTAAAAATAATGAGGTCAGTGGGTTTAATATGAAGCACACAAAGGAGATTGATGGCTCGGTTTCCATTATTGGGCATCTCTTAATAATTCACCTCTCTCCGACTGGTACCGCCATCATTCATGCAGCACTATAGATTTCTCATATTGACTACACAGTATGATTCGGCTCTCTCAATCCACAGTTCACCAAGTTTATGAGCACAGCAGTTTATGATTGTCACAATATTAGCTGATGTTTTTAGCACAGTTTTCAGAGGTATGTAGGCCAGTCTGTAAGCGTTCTGTCGATTTCTCAGACCTTATTTGCACTTCAGCATACGCCAGAGTGACAAGAACTGCAGCATTGGATTTGGCTTCAGTGATTTTAAACAACGCATGTGTTTCAAAACCAGTCATGACATACCAATTGATACAATTATTTAAATGTTTTTAATATCTTTCCATCCAAATATGTAAATGAGACAAATCTGAAATATTGCTTAAAATATTTGCAAGTCAAGCACCGTTTCCATCTGTTGAGTTAAAGAGAACAAACTCAACACTTTCTGATAAACTGTTGCCAAATATCAAAAAGAAATATGACATTGCCTGAGGTAAGAGAAGCCACTGTGAGCCTTTTTTATATAATAAATTGCTAAAGCCTCAGAAGATGAAGATGAAACACAATGAACATGCGGTGGCTTTTGGAGGCGTGAGACCACTCTTTGGGAGCACAGATGCTCAAGACCAAACCTTTTTAATGATGGACTTTGGGCAATTTTGGCGTTTGGACATTTTAATGATAATTAATTAACTCAGTTTTTTTTTAAATGACCAAAACAATATTTTAGATAATTTACAATCAGGTCGGTCTGCTGGTTTGTCCAGTAATGATCTGTTTAAAAAAAATCATGAGACTTTTTTTTTTTTTTGGTAAATTATTTTCAACTGTAGGTTATGCAAGTTTTTTCTTATCAAATTAAAAAAAAAGCTGGTAACACTGACTACGTTTACATGGACATTAGTAATCGAATCATTTGCCTTAATCTGAATAAGGCAATGATATGATTAAGGTGTTTATATGAGTTGCTTTTTGAATGTTTCTTTCACGATCTCGTTTTTTTTATGTTTTAGCGCATAATACTATTAATGTCATTGCGTCAGCACGCTATCCTCATTTCCTCCGTAGTTTCATGTAATTTCGGGTATTTCATTTTTATTTTGTGGACTTAAACTGCAGTTTTGTACTTTAACTTTCATTTAGGAATATTTCATGTATGCCTCTCGTGACAAACGAGATACTGGATGAGAGTATGAACTGCTGGAAGAGTGTAGTTTTTACGGAATTTCAAACTGCGCTCTGAATGGGAGAAAAAAACCCACGCAGTGTATATGTCTGTGGTTTTTAGTGACTTGGTAGGTGTCAAACAGCCGTGTGTGTGTGGACTATCCTGACACAAAACACTGCGGTAATAGTTTGATCGTGGTGTTTACATGTCTGTACTGCTCTTTAATAACGAGACTAAAATCTTAATACTCCATATGTCTTAATTGGATTTTGGTTTAGTTCTTTTATGAGCTTAATCTAATTAAATTAATCAAAAATCTCTGTTTTCAATATAGTCTCTTAATCAGAGTATTGTCTTAATCACATTAAAATCAGATTATTGGCTTCCATGTAAACTTACTCACTGAAGCACTGAGTTGAAGGGGTGTAAAACCTTTTTAATCATGTCATGACATTGAGATTTTATGCATGCTTATGACAGCAGTTAATAACTGTCATTTGCTCAGTTATGACATTTTAAAAGCAAAGATGACATTGTTTGTAATGACAGCATAACATAAACCAATACATCACAACCAGTCATCATTTTACCAAGACAACAAAGCTTAACATGATTGTCATAAGGCATTATGATTGTGTCATAAATATTTTTCTGATCACTTTTCCAGTAGAACAAACTGTATTTGTTTTTAAAATGTCTCATTAAAAGTGCCATTACTCATAATTTGTAACACTGTCGTTAATATTTAATGACATTTAATGATGTTATAAAATTCATGACACAATTTTAATGGCTTAATGCTAATCATGTTTATGACAGATTTATGACAAGTTTTTGTTGTCTTGGTAATGTCAAGCTGTCATGACAAACAAAGTTATGATGCATTTGTTTATATCAAGTTCTCATGGCAAACAATGTCATCTTTGCATTTAAAACACTCTAATTTGCGAATGACACTTACAGTTGTTATAATCATGCATAAAATCTTATTCAGCTTCGTGTCATGTCATGATTATCCTACTTAGTTGTCCATGTATGTCTTTAATGTGCATTTTCAAAATGTATGCAAATCTTGCTATTCACATTAAGCATTTTGTATGTGATATTTCAAAATATCTATAAAATAGGGGGACGGAAACAAAGCTGCTTTGTCAGATTATGCTAGACCTCTAAATTGTTGTTTTGGACACACACATACAGAGACTATACAAGATAAAATAATTAATTTGATACAACATCCTATAAAAGAAAAAAAAAAGACGACACTGTCTGGTGTCCCAAGATCTGTTGTTGTTTACAAAAATCATCAGAAAAAATTCAAATGTTCCAAATTTCATCTAATATTGTGTATTCTGAGCCTGGCATAAGACTGCATGTCTGTTTATTTAGACCATATTTACCCACAATTCCACTAATATTTTGTATTTTCTATCCTCCAGGCGTATTCTGTTTATGATGAAGAAATCGGTTACTGTCAAGGGCAGTCCTTTCTTGCTGCTGTGCTGCTATTACACGTGAGTATCAACGCAGATTAATGCAAAGTTGTTTATAAAAGCTGACATTTAATGTAATGATATACAGTGGGGGAAAAAAGTATTGAACACATCACCATTTTTCTCAGGTAATATATTTATAAAGGTGTTGCTGACTAAAAATGTTGGCTTGGATGTTATTAACAATCAATAGAAATATATATAAGCAAAGAAAACAAAACTGAATAGTTTACAAATTAAGTTATGTGCAATAAAATGAAATGACTCAGTGACAAAGTATTGAAAGGCAGTGAAAGCCCAGACAGCAACTGAAATCTCGCAGTGGTTTTTCAGCAACCTTCTGCCCTTTCTCATTGTAAATTAATATTTTCTGCTTCAGTCCAACATCTGCATTATCAGGATGATAAAGATGAAACTTGGGTGGACAATTTAGTAAAACAATGATTTAAAACAAAGCCAAGGAAATTATCATATGCTATCAGAGAAAGAAAATAAAGCTGTAGAATGGCCCGGCCAATCCCCTGACTTAAATCCAATAAAAAATACAAATTAAAGATCAGATTTTATAGTTTTTTACACTGTTAAAGTCTGTGAAAAATCACACCTAAGCAACTTCATTCTCCATTTAAGAGGCATCTTTAAACTGCCATGACGAAAAAGCCTTTTATATTAAATATGTTTCAGTAGTTCAGTGCTTACTCCATGTCACATTCCAGTATTAATACTCAGAACTATTTTTTCAGATGTGTATTTTGTTTTCTTTTATTTTTATACTTATATTGTTTGAGGTTTTACCAAAATCTGGTTCGATTCCATGTCATCAGCTACTTAGAAATATTATTCTCAGGCGTGTTCAATACTTCATTTCCGCCACTGAATTTGTGTGTTGTCACTCGCACAGTATATCATGCTTGAGCTGTATGTCATTTTGTACTTTAAAAGGTGAGGCAGTGCCATCTGGTGGATGTGTGTTTTGGTATTTTGTCAACATGTTGTGGTTGTATTATCGAGCTAGGTGATGAGTTTCTGTGTTGTTCATGTGCAGATGCCAGAAGAGCAGGCGTTCAGCGTGCTGGTCAAGATCATGTTTGAATACGGTCTCAGGGAGCTCTTTAAGCAGAACTTTGAAGACCTGCACTGCAAGTTCTTCCAGCTGGAGAGACTCATGCAGGTTACAACCATTGCTGATTTGCTTATTGTGATACAAATAATGACATTATACTAAGGCAGAAATCACTGCATAGTAATATTTTGTCATCATTTGGGAAATATTTTAAAAAGACAAAACATTCAAAGGGGGTTTAATCATTTTGATTTCAACTCTATATGATGCACTAAAACTGATTTGTGATTTAACATTTGTTCTAAAAGTTTAATTAACTCATGTTTGAGAAATAGAGAACTGCAAAATATAAGTTCAGACTTATGTATTTCTGTATTTCATTTTATGAAACAGGCCCCATTCTAAGAAAAATTGCAAAATAATAAGTTCAGTAAAAAATAACAGTGAATAGTAATATATACTTGCAACTGTGGGAAAAAATATCTGATTTATACAGTTAAAGTCAGAATTATTAGCCCCGTTTTGAATTTGTTTTCCTGTTTTAAATATTTCCCAAATGATGTTTAACAAAGCAAGGAAGTTTTCAGTATGTCTGATAATATTTTTTTCCTTCTGGAGAAAGTCTTTGTTTGTTTTATTTCAGCTAGAATAAAAGCACTTTTTTATTTAAAAAAAATATATTAGCTCCTTTAAGCTATATATTTTTCTGATAGTCTACAGAACAAACCATTGTCATACAATAACTTGCCTAATTACCCTAACCTGCCTAGTTAACCTAATTAACCTAGTTAAGCCTTTAAATGTCACTGTATAGAAGCTGTATAGAAGTGTCTTAAAAATATCTAGTTAAATATTATTTACTGTCATCATGGCAAAGATAAAATCAATCAGTTATTAAAAATGAGTTATTAAACCTATTATGTTTAGAAATGTGTTGAAAACATCTCTTTGTCAAACAGAAATTAGAGGGGGAAATGTAGATGTATCAGTTATGAGAAAAACTTCAGAACTAGAATTATCAGAAACAAAATGAAATATTTGCTTAGAATTGTAATAAACAAAAGTCAGAATTGTGACAATTTTTTTTCTCTATTCCATTTACATCTTGTGTTGTGAATAGTGGCTATTTTTGTGAATGCTGCTTTGTCTTGTAAATCTAAACTTTTTCTTACAATTCAGAGTTTTCAGCACTGTTACTTCATTTTTAAGCTTAGATAAACCCTAAGTAATTATTTTAATATTTATAGATTCTTAAAAAAAAAAAATCTTGAAGCACATGGACATACTGTTTATGTATTTGTTTATTAATTTGCTTTCCTGATGAGCATGACTTAAACAGAAATTAACTCTTTTTCTCACTATTTTTAACTTTTTTACCATTATATTTCAAATAGACTCACGCGGGTCCAGTACTATGAGTTTTTTCTGCCTCTCTGTATTGTAGGAATGCATTCCAGACCTGTACACACACTTCCTGAACTTGGGTTTGGAGGCGCACATGTACGCCTCCCAGTGGTTCCTCACACTCTTCACAGCCAAATTCCCTCTTTACATGGTCTTTCACATCATAGATCTTCTGCTGTGTGAGGTACATTGTCATTAACACCTGCTTTGATGAATTATAAAAATAAATTTGAACATTTTTGTTTCATAAAATTATTTTGTTTTCCTTTTTGTTTTGATTTCAGGGCATCAGTGTCATTTTTAATGTGGCTCTTTCATTATTGAAGGTAAGGAGGTGCTCATGATATCATTAACTGCAATATTTTCTCAGTTGTTTCACCATTGAACCATGAATATTCTCTACAGTCTTGTGTTATATCTTGAAAATAAACCCCTTTTTTCCACCCATGCCTCATCCAAAAAGTTACAGCTAATAAAGAGCCGGACATAAAATTGTGTTGGAGTCCCGTATAACTGATTTAAATTAATTAAAGCTCACAAAACATTTACGTTTATTGCTAGAATCATTTTGCAATGATTTCAATACAGTTCAATTAGGCCTTAAGACATGTAAACCCCTCCCTTCCACAAGACAGTTCTGCTCTTGTTGGTCAGCAAGTGTGCTTTGATTTGGTTTTTCCTTATCTATAGCTTGTCGGAAATTAAACACCTATTTCTGATTTTTTTGAAAATATAATGATTCATTAAGGCAATTTAGACCAGACTCCCTTTTTTTAAGAGACAATATGTCAGGGATAATGTACATCAAAGCTGTTGTTCTTGCAAAATAAAGCCAGACACAAAGCAGAAGCTGTTGTATAAGACTGAATTGCTTTATTCTGCCAGAATTACTGCCTAGGTGTGCATTATCTTTCTTATTACACAACTACTTGATACAAAAATAAATAATTAGAAACAAAAATTAAACAGAATTAATTAAACATTAAGCTTAGAAAATAAAATGGCTGAATTCAGCCTACACTAACTTAAATTGTATTCAGTCAGAAGATAGCACCAAACAGTCAGGAACAGCAGCTTAACAGATGAGCCAGCTCGATCTCACGAAGAAACTATTTTGTTTTTTCAAACTATTTTATGTATTGTCAGAAAATTGGCTAAATTTACACGATTTCCCTTAGAATATACTTTATATTATAAATTATTATTATATATTATATTACAGATTATAAAATAATCTGTTTTAAATCAAAACATTTCTAATGGTTCTGTTTATGTTTATTTAGTATTGTTGTGTTAGAAACACATGCATGTCCCATTGTTTTACAGCCAGCTTGAGTTATAAATAAAAAATAATTATTTAAAACACATTCAGATTAGAATATCTTAAATTAAAGTTCTTTTGTAAATCTTAAAATTCTTTTGTTTTTAATTGTAGCAATAACATGGTAGTATTAAACCTGTTTTTTAAGAAGTAGCTGATCAAATACAATACAATTGATACATTAATTATTTTTTATTATTAATTATTATGATTTTCACATTACGATTTGTATGAAAACGTACGATTTTTTAGAAGGAGGCATGCCCCCAAGCCCCACCCCTAATAGTCCTAATTTGGTGATCAACAAATCGTAAGAAAAGTATGAATAAGGTAATACAAGCAAATACTATTTAGCCACTAAATCAAAAAGTTACAAATTGCCACAAGATTGTGTTAAATAATCATATAAATAAGAGTGTATTCAGTAAAGGTCCAGATAATTCAAAGTTCCTTAATAAGCATGTGTTGAATCAGTTGTTATCTGAAAATAGCATACCTTGTGATGTCGAACTGACCAATCAAAATCCAGAATTCCAGAGATCTGTTTTTTTTAAACACTTTTTTTTTTTTGCATTTATTAAGTAGATATGACAATATTTTAGAGAGTAAGTGAAGTTGTAGAGAGCCAGGGGGTAGAGACGGGAAATGTCCTCGAGCCGGGATTCGAACTCGGGACTCCCTGAAGTGCTATTGCACCATATGTCAGAGCGCTAACCACTAGGCTATTGCACCAAACTTTTTATTAACTATTTTTTATAAGGCAGACTGATTATAATGAAAGACAGAAACATTACAATCTGCAAATACTATTTTTTTAAAAAATCCATATGATATGACCTGCTCTTAAAAATGATGTACACAACATAATTGGCAGCTACAACATAGCATGATCAGATGTTCCTCAGGGAATCTTTCATCATTACCATCACCTGTCAGGAGGCAGAGAATACTTATTTATGCCATTAATAACTAAACATCACAATTTGATCGCTCTTTCTCTCTACAGACATCTAAAGATGATCTGCTGCAGACGGATTTTGAGGGTGCACTGAAGTTTTTCCGAGTGCCTGTGCCCAAGCGCTATCGCTCTGAGGAAAATGCTAAGAAGCTCATGGAGTTAGCATGCAGTATGAAGGTAACCAAGCTGTCTGCAGGACATGTTTAGCGATGTGACCCAAATCAGATCTGTTCAACTCTCTGTGTTTTGTGTTTGATGTGATGATCATCAAATTTATTGACAGAAAGGAAAAGAGTACAATGAAAACACTTAATCATGTTATAATTGTTATTATTATTATTTATTTATTTTTTATTTTTATCAGTTGCTGTTAGTGTTCATTCATTCATTTTCCTTCGGCTTAGTCCCTTTATTTATCCGGGGTGGCCACAGCAGAATGACCACCAACTTATCCAACATATGTTTTACACAGTGGATGTCCTTCCAGCTGCAACCCATTACTGGGAAACACCCATACACACGCATTCACACACATACACACACATACACTCTATGGACAATTTAGTTTATTCAATTCACCTGTTGGGCATGTCTTTGGACTGTGGGGGAAACCAGAGCACCCGGAGGAAACCCATGCCAACACAGGGAGAACATGCAAACTCCACACAGAAATGCCAACAGACCTTGAGACTCAAACCAGTGACCTTCTTGCTGTAAGCCGACAGTTACAGTCACCCTGTTAGTGTTTTTTTTTAAAAAAAAATTTTTTATTAGTATTATTTATAATTTTTCTGCAATCCTTATATAATGTATTCTCTTGTTCTGGGTATACATAATTCTTAGTTTATAACTTGAAAAAAATGCAATAATCATATTTATTTCAAACAAAACAATATCAAATCAACATAAATATAACCTTGATACATTTTTAGTTAAAATAGATTTATTTTATTTTCAAAAATTTTTATATTTAATGGAAAGAAAATGTGTTTTCCTTGGTTCAGTGGTTCATGCTTTGTATGTTTAACATTATTCAGTGCCAAAAGTGATTACATACACAGAAAAGACCAATTATATTTAGCAAAAATTATCATTTTATTTAGCAAAAATCTGAAAAACGACAAGCTCATGATTAAAATTGTCATTTTTTTTCAATTTTTACATTTAGTTTTTTTTAATCAGTATAAATTATTATTATTATTTTTTTAAATAAAATCAGTTCTCCTGATTGTCCAGCAGAGGACACTGCAGGAGTAAAAAAACTAAATCGCTCCTGGTTTTTTTAGTGCTTCTGTCCGAGTGTTGTTCAAATTAATTTGTTTTTAAATTGTTATTATTATTTTAGCATAAATGTAATTCAGCATAACGATGAATAGTGTAAATTGTTAGTTAAATTAAAATCAAAAGTTCAGTTAAAATTATAAATAAAAACAATAGTGAATTTGATAATGCTACTTATTACATTAACATTAATTCCTAAAACTTTTATTCGAAATTTTAAAGTAATAGATCATAGCATTATTTACTTATTCTTGAGTCCTTCCAAAACTTTAATTTTTGCTCATCTTTGAAAATACAAATTCCTTAGTTTTGTCCATCTATTGATTCATACAACCAAAACGCTAATAAATCCATTCTTATTAAGCACAACAGATATTTCAATGTAAAATAATGATATGATATACTTATCCTGTCCTGTCCATATCCCATCCGTATTAAATTTTATTATTTTTTATTTATTTTTAAAAAACTTCTTACTGACAAATGGTTTTAAATATAATGATTTGAAATATAGTGGTAGATATTTAAATAGTACTTTGGGTAGGCCTTTATCAATAATCAATATATAGACTTATCACACAACACATAAACATGAGCTCAATCATTTTGGTGATGCCATACATATAAACCAATTCTAGCAACATTTCAGCTGATTGTGCAACATCTCTATCTCTATTAGAGGTGGCAATGTCAGTATGTTAAAAAAACACTATAGTATTTACTATAAGTTACTATAGTATGGTCTCACATGGTTTCATAGCGAATGAAAATAGATCTGGTAGCAGATATCGTAGTCACTGTTACTTTTTCCTTTGCAATTTTTTAATTAACATTTATTATTATTTATTTGTTTAGGACATACATTTTCAGATTCTGATTCCAATGCCCAATTATTAAGTTTTAAAATGACTATAATTAAATGAAATTTTTCTAAGAATAAAACATAGTTTTCTTTGAAGAGTGTACTTGCGTTGCAATGCCATTACAGTTTCAGTTTGCTTTATTTATGTCATTCAAATCATCACAATAGAATTGTAATGCAGAACGAAATTACGTTCAACAGACCCAACAAGAACATAAAAAAACATCACTATAAAAACACTATAAAATCCTAACATGATAAATAAGCTTTTATAATTCCATAAAAATATAAAAAAATATAATTATATAAGATATCACCCATTTTTTTAAAATCTCTGAAGAGAATAACTCAATACTTAAATACCTATTTCACCATTTGTTGTAATATTAACAATTTATGCTAGTTTAACAAATTTATTTATTTTTAACACTAGCTATCAACAATGCTTAAGAAATGGTGTTATTCAAAAGTCTTATAATGACAGGATAAAAACTATCTCGAAACCGCACTGATTTGCTCCTCAGACTTCTGTAACGCCTGCCTGATGGCATGAGTGAGAGCAGGCTATGACCAGGGTGGGTTGAATCCCCTAAAATGTTATTTGCCCTAGACAGACAACGTCGTTGATAATTACATTGTCATTCTGCCATTATATAATGACTGGCATAAACTGGTCTTAAAACGACAATAATATTGTTGATTGTAATATATTTTGGTGCAATATATATATTTCACTGTGATCCTTAAATATTCTTTTATTGCGTCACAAGTTAAAAAATTTGCCTCAAAACCCTTTTATATAACACACTGATCTGCATATTTTAATTCAGTCTAATTTATTTATTTATTTATTTTTTAATTACCACTATTTCTGTCTGTCTGCATGTGTACTTAAAGTATGTTTGTTTTCTCTTTGGTTCCTCATTTCCATCAAAACACGATTGCTCATGTTTTTTTGCATCTCAGTCCTTTAACCCAAATACAAACCAGCCTTTACTTCTCTTCCTCCAAGTCTCAACATCCCATCACAACACTAAAAGCTCACTTTCACTGCTGTGTTTGTGTGCTATTTCAAAACGAGGGGCCCAGCGTTCAAAAATCTGATGCCTAAAACGGCCCCTTCCTCGGTTTCACTGTCACCACACACCGCAGTTTAACACCCTTCACGATCAAAAGAGCTTTTACACACACAGACACACTTCATTTCCCTACAGCCAAGTCTAATTGTTCCCATGAGTGTCGCCAAAAACACGCTGACTGATGAAGCCCTCGTGACATGGAGGGCTTTTATATGGATCTCATTTCATCTGTGGAAGCATTACGGATTAAATATGGAACAGACCCGGTTCTGTGTCCTACAGCTAGTCTAAATAGAGCTCATTTACAAACACGCACGTACCTGCGGCTCTCGGCGTTCTGTTGAAAAATGGCTGGTTCTCTGAGCACAAAACACACTCAGTCTCTCAGAAATTGGGTCATTGCATGAAAATAGGGTAGTCTTGGGCTGCAGGTGGATAAATGTGGCACGGCTCGTGTGTTTGTGTCCAGCGCGCAGGTAGAGCATGAACAGAAATCCTTTTAAATGCATTAGTCTGGTAACATTTTAAATGAGTGGGTTTGTTTGAGTCACAGCTTTATTTGGGTTGGCGGTGAGTCTGGCTAGTTTTAAAGTCAGAAAGGCTTAGCTGTAATTTATTCAAGTTGACTATCAACAAGTCTGGTGCACTTCAGGGCAGAGTCTGGGGAAGAGCTGATATGTATTTAATGTAGTGTTGAGTGTAATTAGTTACGAAGTAACTAACTAAATATATATATAAAGTGCGTTCGAAAAGTATTTATAGCCTTCACTTTTTCCTATTAAAAAAAAAACAAAAGCAGCTTTATTGGAATTTTTTTTCCTTCGGAAAATTCAGTTGATTGGACATTTGAAAAGGAATACACCTGTCTAAAAAAGGTCTATTAAAGGGGCTAATAATTTTGTCCTTAATGTTTTTAAAAAAATTAAAGGCTGCTTTTATTCTAACCGAAATAAAACAAACAAGACTTTTTTCAGAAGAAAAATATTATCAGACATACTGTAAAAAATTTCCTTGCTCTGGTAAACATCATTTTCTAAATAATTTAAAAAGAAAAAAAATGAAGGGGGCTAATAATTCTGACTTTAACTGTTTGGGCTAGAATAAAAGCAGTTATTAATTTTTTAAAAAACATTTTTGGGACAAAATTATTAGCCCCTTTAAGCTGATTTTTTCCCCCCGATAATCTACAGAACAAACCATTGTTATACAATAACTTGACTAATTACCCTAAACTGCCTTCTTCACCTTATTAACCTAGTTAAGCCTTTTAATGTCACTTTAAGCTGTATAGAAGTGTTGTGAAAAATATCTAGTCAAATATTATTTACTGTCATCATGGAAAAGATAAAATAAATCAGTTATTAGAAATAAGTTTTTAAAACTATTATCCTTAGAAATGTGCTGAAACAATCTTCCCAGAACAAAACAGAAATTGGGGAAAAAAAATAAACAGGGACGCTAATAATTCAGGGGGGCTAATAATTCTGACTTCAACCGTATGTGTGTGTGTGTATATATATGTATTTATTTCAATTTTTTAAAAGATTTATTTTCTCGCACTACCACATCTTTCACACATTAAAACCCAATGTTCCAGGGTTAGACTTTTTTGTTTTGGTCTGTCCACATTCAAATAATTTCTCATTTACTTGTGTTTTATATTTAACAGATCAGCCAGAAGAAGCTGAAGAAGTACGAGAAGGAATATCACACCATTCGCGAGCAGCAAGAACAGCAGGAGGCGCCGATCGAGAGATATGAGGTAGATTTTAACCTTCATTCGTCTGTGCATCTCTGCCGGGAGTTACACATCTGCATTCATAACTGCGTGCATATGAATATTTACATGATCCATTTGGGTGTGCGTGCGTTTGCTCATATGCGTTTAATCTCGGCCGAGATTTGGTTCTCCCTCTCAATCAGAGCTGGTTTTCTACTCTGCGTCGAGCTAAAACTCATCTTCCGCCATCCCCATCCTGTATCTGGTGCTATTAGCATATGCGCTTTGTGCTTATAATGAGCAGCGATGTGAGACGAGGTCACCGCTGGGCTCAGAGATGATGCAAAAAGGGCCAGATGGATTTCTGATATCAGCTTCCTGCCAGTCAACTGTTAGACTGAGATCCGCGCATGAGGAATTACTGTGATCATTTGTACCTGTCCGTCAGGGTTGGAAATTTACACACACACACACACACACACACAGAGCACATTTCACACATTAAAAGAGCAGTACAGTTTACTGAAAATACAATGCTGTTAGAAGTTTGCAGGATCACAAATAAAGCCATAAATCAAAGTACATTGGAAATAGTTTGCTGGAGAGTAAACTTTAAAATTGTACTTTGAATCACAACTTTTTGTGTTATGCCATAAATCAGGTGCTTTCATGGTTTTAAAGTTAAAAAGATACCTTGAAGAGTAATTCTTTAAAAAAATTTAATGAATCTGACAAAGAATAGATGAGTTATTAAAGTAAACTAAATCTGCATAATGCCAAATTGTAATGCAATAAAAAGTGTGTGTTTCTGAAGCAGTTGTGCAATTTCAGTGAAGTTCAAATGCAATAGAGTTAGCAATGATATTAACAGTGACAAAATGATTAACAAAACAGAGCTAAACAATACATGACCGCTTTGCCAAGACTAACAACATAGTTGTTATTTAAAGGTACAGTTAACAATAAAATAAAATAAAATAAAACTGTAAATTACTTACTCTTTACTTGTTTCAAACCTTTATGAGTTTCTTATTTCTGTTTTACACAAAAGAATATACAGGGCTCGGCCTATAAGAGTACACCCCTTACAAATCTCTCTTTTAAACTAATATTTACTATATGATTCTATATAGAAATTATTTTATATAATGTTAAAGTCAGAATTATTAGCCCCCCTTTAAATTGTTTTTCTTTTTTTAAATATTTCCCAAATTATGATTAACAGAGCAAGGAAATTTTCACAGTGAGTCTAATAATATTTTTTTCTTCTGGATAAAGTCTTATTTATTTTTTATTTTGCCTAGAATAAAAGCTTTTTTTTTTTTTACTTTTAAACACTATTTTAAGGACAAATTATTAGCCCCTTTAAGCTATATTTTTTGATAGTCTACAGAACAATCGTTATACAATAACTTGCCTAATTACCCTAACCTGCCTAGTTAACCTAATTAACCTAGTTAAGCCTTTAAATGTCACTTTAAGCTGTATAGAAGTGTCTTGAAAAATATTTAGTCAAATATTATTTACTGTCATCTTGGCAAAGATAAAATAAATCAGTTATTAGAAATAAGTTATTGAAACTGTTATCTTTAGAAATTTGTTGAAAAAGTATTCTCTAAAAAAGAGATTCTTTGACTATGTTTTGGATTATTGTCTTGCTGAAATGTCTACCCTGGATTCATCTTAATCATTCTGGTAATATAGACATTGTACTGAAACAGATAATATTAATTTACACTGATGAAGGGCAGGGGCTTGCTGAAGAACTATTCAGAGATGTCAGCTGCTGTCTGGGCATTCACTGCCTTTCTACATCTTTCTTTTTTTCATGTGTACTTCATGTGTACTTTTCCCCTGTGTCATATCACTGTATTACTCATAATTTCATTTGTAAACTAATTAATGTGGATCCCTTAGGTTATTACCAACGTCCTGCGAAAATTTCAATTCAACGACATCCTTAGAAATATTCTTTTTTCACATAGTTTTCTGAGAGGAATTGTGACTTGATCAATACTTATTTTCCCCACTGTATATCTGCTAAAGGGCATTTACATTAATTATTGTCTTATTTTTTTAAGTGTTGCCTAATATATATATATTAAATTGAATACCTGTAATTTCAATGTTAAATAACTATAAATAACTATCCAACAGTATGTTTATTATTAATAGTATTATAACTAATATCACTGTTAAATGCATTGCATTTGAACTCTGTCATTCCTTCACTGAATATGTAGAAATGCTTTAGAAGCACACATTTGCATTATTATTCATGTCATAAAAAACTCTCGCTTTTTAAAAGTGTCTCTTGATCTAACAGCCAGAGGACTGAAAGTCCAGTCAGTGGTATGTAAATTGCTTTCTGACATATTTCCCTTCAACTTGTCAATTTTTAATCAGGTTTCTTCTCCAAGGTTCCTTGTATTCCCAGCACAGTTAACCATTATAGTGACAGTCACAAGACATTGATGGAGTCACACGCTCACACTCTCTCTCTACTCTCTAGAGAGAAAACCGGCGGCTACAGGAAGCCAACATGCGACTGGAGCAGGAAAATGACGATTTGGCTCACGAGCTGGTCAGCAGTAAGATCGCCCTGAGGAAAGATCTGGACAACGTAAGCTTTTGAGCCCATTTTAAAAATGATTTCTTTCTTTTTAAGTTTCTGACATGGCTGTGGCTTCTGGTATGTACATTATAACTTTGTGTGTTTTTTCTCTTAGGCTGAGGAGAAAGCAGACGCGCTCAACAAAGAGCTTCTCATCACTAAACAGAAACTGGTGGAGTCGGAAGATGAGAAAAGACGACTGGAGGAAGAGTCTGCACAGGTCAGACACTTCCTAAAACATCTGAAACACATGCTCTTTTAGGCACAATAGTTCGTAGTGGCATGCTGTGGGAATGGTGCACTGACAAACAAATTGTCACCAAATCAAAACTCTTTATTTGCACTCATTCTTTGAATTGTAGCTTAGCTCAGTCTTTTTCTCAGTATCATGAGGTGTCTTGAAAAGTGTGGATTATATATAGTATTGAAGGTGTTCAGAATGGTGTTGTACTGTACTTTTTTCCCCTTTACCATTCACTTACACAATTTAAACATTGTTAACATAATTCTGTGTTAAAAATGCAATTATAATAGTTATATATAATAAAAATATAATATATTTTTAAATGCTTTAACTTCACCTGAAAGCTAAATATTAGTCTAATTATTAATAAAATTAAAGGAATAGGAAATTCTGTCATCATTTACTCATCCTTCACTTGTTCCAAGCTTTGTGTTGAACACAAAGGAAGATACACTGAATATATTGGGAAAAGCCTTTTGACTTCCATTGTGTATTCTGTTTCTACTATAGATGTCAGTGGCTGTTTTTTTTCCCATCAATGTTCAGAATATCTTGTTTTGTATTGAGCAAAACAAATTCATAAACATTTAGTACCACTGAGTAAATGGTGAGGGAATGTTTTCCAAAACTAAACTTTTCGGGTGAACTATCTCTTTAAATGAAATAGCTCTGCATGTTATTATCTTTGTTAAAACAGTGACAAAGAAATTGCCAGGGAAGGACTACATTATGTGTGGTGAGCGGACTGGTGCCTTTGGCCCCGTTTACACTAGTGTGTTTTAGTTTTAAAACGGCGTTTTAGAATGAAAACGATCCGCGTCCACACTCGCGTTTTACCCAGCGTTTCTGAACTGCTCTCCGTCCACACCAAAACGCTGAAAACGCACATCACGTGACCACACACACTCTCTTGGGCAAGTGCTGCAGCCCATCTACCCAGATAAGAGCTGTGCTAGTCGGACTTCTCATCAAGCATCTCCCGCTGGACCTAATCTCACTATATTTATTAAATGGGAAATTTCATTCATCTTGTTGTCTTTATCTAACGACATAAGCCAATTCCCTGACTTTGGTCATTGGAATCTATTAATTTACTTGTTCTCAGGTAACGTGTTTTGGCTGAGCGCAAAGATAAGTTAATGATTATTGTAACCACGTAGCCTACATTCTGTATATTGACTGATCGCTTGCCTTTATTTCCTATAATGTATACACTATGTTGTATGTTATACTTTTATAATGGCCATTATCGATTATTAAAACTGATATTCAACAAAAGAGAGGGGATGTTTTGTATTTTCACTGAAATTGAAAGGAGACAGTTGTTATCGGCTCCGTTTTGTTATAAATATCCATACAGTGAATATGACGCTCATATATGCAGCACGGCGCCTCAACATTTCTGCTGTCTGTTAAGTTGCTAATATTAAAATGAAAATAGGCAGTTCCTTAAATCATGTTTACATTTTATTGTTGAGAAAGCGTAGCCAGGGTGATGTGAATGAAGTTATAAAGTACACTGTTTCCTTTGAAGATTTACCCGTGTCCTCGGTATAGTCTGTTTTCCATATCAAACTGAGAAGAAGAGACTGCAGCCTTGATCAAACTTGCGAAGTCTGAACTTACAAGGAGAGGATGCAGGACTGAACTGTGTGTAACGTTAGGCTACTTAATATTGAGAAAAAGCCTCAATCAGAGAGACGAATGTCAGCAGCCCCGCCTCCGTTTTCAGATGCCTCCGTTTTCCATCATCCACACTGAGACGGAGCAGCAGCATTTCAGAATGAAAACGGCCCCTCCAGCGTTTTCGAAACGCTCCGTTTTCGGCCCTCGAGAACTCCGGGGTAGTGTGGACGGATGGCGTAACCGTAGCAAAGCTTATGCGTTTTCAAACTAAAACGCATTAGTGTAAACGGGGCCTTTGTCCTGTGGCTGCTGTTGCATCATCCAAGTGGATGCTGCACACTGGTGGTGGTGTGAAGAGACCACCCCTCATAATTGTGAAGCGCTTTGGGTGTATGGCAATACACAATAAATGCGCTATATAAATGCACATTACATCACACTATAAATACCTGGATGATGCACTTATTCAACTGTTAAAAAGAAGTGTGGAATGTTGGACACTTCACGCACTCAACAACCGCTGCTTTGAACACATAGCTGAAGGTGCGAGCTTTCAGGCAATGATGTTGGATTAGCTTATTTATTTGGGATTGTGAAAACCAAGTGCTTCTATGAGAATTGTTATACTTTCTCTCGATGGTGAATGAAGGCAGTTATACTCATGGCAGGTATTATTTGGTAGTTTTGTTTGGTTATTTATTTTACTAGTTTTGCAATCGTCTAATGTCATCCGGGAAACGGTTTGAATTTCCGATTGTTAAAAACACTGTTAGTGTTCCATTTGGGATGACACTAAATTCATATACCATGCTGGTGAGTGTGTAAGTGCATAGTGGATAGTGTGCCATTTGGGACGCAATTTTCATTCTTATGAGACACTTCTTTTCGCATTTTCACTGTTTCACATTAGTCCTGTTTTTTTTTTTTTTTTTATTATTATATATTTTTTTCTTAATCTATGGTGACACACAGGCGCTTGTAGCTTTGCCCTCTTTTGAAAAAGCATAATCTCAATTAAATGTAAAGTGACAGTCATCAAAACGGCACAATTTGAAACAAAGCCTAAAAGGGCCAGTTTCAAAGAGATATAAAACAATATTTGTGAGGTGTTTTGAGCTGAAACTTCACATACACACTCTAGGGACATGAGAAACTTATTTCACATTTTGTAAAAATGAGCATGTTACATACTCTAAATTTTGCATTGCTCTATAAAGCACGCCAGACCTGTAACAATAGATTTAAAAAAATTACATGAAATAAGACACCCTTAAAGGGCGTCATGGTGGCACAGTGGGTAGCACGATCACCTCACAGCAAGAAGGTCGCTGGTTCAAGCCCCGACTGGGTCAGTTAGCATTTCTGTGTGGAGTTTGCTTGTTCTACCTGTGTTTGCATGTGTTTCCTCTGGGTACTCTAGTTTTTCCAACAGTGCAAAGACATACACTCTAGGTGAATGGGGTAAGCTAAATTGTAGTGTATATGTGTGAATGTTAGAGTGTATGGGTGTTTCCCAGTGTTGGATTGCGGCTGAAAGGACATCTGCTGCGTAAAACATATGCTGGATAAGTTGGTGGTTCTTTCGCTGTGGCGACTTTCGATTTATAAAGGGACTAAGCTGAAAAGAGAATGAATGTGTGAATGAATGAATGAATAAAAGACACCTATAAAATTAATGAGGAGCCTGAAGTCTCATCTCCTGTTCAAAAGAAAACAACCACAAAGCTGATTGACCAGAGAAATAACGTAAAGTCAAGTTTATTTGACATTTAAATTGAAAAAAAGAAATAAAAATCTTGCAGAGGGAAAGCTAAAATAACAAAAACTCAACAATTACTAAGTTTTAAATCCTCTTACCTGCACATAAATAAAAACAAATTAAACAACAATTACTTACCTTCCTACTAACCACAAAGCATGATAAAACTTAAAGCACCCTCCCTATCACATGCATCTCTGTACATTGGTCTTAATAGTTTAACACCCAGTGTCAAATTCCACAATATCCCCAAACAAGCACAACATAAGTTCTCACAAATAAACAAAACAAGACAGGAGAGAGGAGACTCTCTGAACGATCTTCCAGTCTGGTTTAAATGAACTTCACCAACACACCGACAAGATTAGGTGTCAACACCTAATTCACTGCACCTTTATACGTTCATAAAGAAACTTGTCAGAAAGACAGTGGAGAGAAGAAAACCACAACAAAAAGAAACTTCAAATCAAATAACTTTTCTTTTATATTATTGTTTAAAAAAACACAGCATTATAGGTAGGGCCAGACAGAATCTGCAGACATGTTTTTGCTATTTCTGTAGAGAATTTTGTAATAAATCTGTGGATTTATGCAGAATGATTTTGAACTTTTATTTAAGGTTTACAATGCAAAAAGCAAAGCATTGGTATAGCATTTCTTTCATATAATAAATTTACTAAAAGACAAAAAATATTACTTTACAAACTTTATTGTAAATAAATCAAATGAACATTTTTCGATTAGTCAATATTATTACTGAACTTAATTTAAAACTTAATAAATATAAATTTACACATATTTAAACAAATAAATAGACTCAATGATGTGCTAAAAATATGCAGAAATCTGTGGATTTCTGCGCGCGCATATTCTGTGTGGGCCTAATAATAGGTCACATTTAAACAAATCTTTTAAATAAAGATTCAAGTCATCTCCTCAGTAAATCCATAATGAGTAATGGTTTACTATATTTATGTCAGAGTTTATAGTTTATTCTTTAATATCATAGAACGAGAGCAAACTCACAGTATGCTGGATGTGTGTTTGAATTGATTGTTTTGAGGCTGTGGAACAGTCTAGCCGGTGCACACACTTGTCCTAAATCGATGTCCTCCAGAGGGGACACTTGGCTTAAATATAGTATCGTTGTAATATGACTGATTTCTATTTAGTTGAAAAAGCAGAAGAGTTTATAGACCATTTTGAAGGATGTAAACAAAAACAATGGTCCCAACATATTTCCTGTTTTACTTTTTTTAATTTCTATAGCTTCCAAGAATCCAAAAAGAGTCACATATTGATAAATGATGTTATGATTGTTGTTTTAACATCAGTTTTGATTGAATTGCCTCTTGTTACAGTTATAAAATACTTTCATAACGAGCAGAAAATGTTTATCGGCCAATGACAAGACCACATTGAAATAGTCTATAACTTGCGTTTACATCTGTGTTTTCAGCTGAAGGAGATGTGTCGGAGAGAGCTGGATAAATCTGAGTCCGAGATCAAGAAGAACGGCTCCATCATCGGCGAATACAAACAGGTGAAGACACACACTGACTTGCATGGCCCGCTGGTCCTGTTTGAGATTCCATGGGCCTTCTATCACTGTAATGAAGTCCACTATGCCTCTATTAGGACACTGTGGCCGTACCAAACTCTAAATCACTTTAAATGGTCCAGTCTCTGTCATGTCTCATCTTAAAACACCCCATCATCCAATTAAACGACCTTCATAAAACTCTTAACTGAGGCACTCGATAAATGTGCATTGCTTTTACAGTATGTTTTCCTTGCCCTGCCAAATATTTGCCTGATTTATTTTTATGCTTGCTTTAGTTTTTGTCTTCGGCAGCTCTTCTAAAAGTGATCTGTTGAGCTGGTTAACCTCGGTGATTCTAAACCCATATTGCTCATAATTTATCTGTAAGTCAGCGCGGTTTGTAATCTGATGTTTCACAGTGCTAAACGCAGGGTTTTTACCTTTTCATCAATATTTGCGGTATAATTATCCAATGTACAATTATTATTTTTTTTTTATCAGAAATTATTGCCATGCCCAGACACCTTGACCCATGTGAATTAATGTATTTCTTGTGGGGGAAAAAAATAGAGTCTCCACGCAGTTCCCCTCTCGCTTCTTCAAAAAAAGAAAAAGAAATACTGTGTCCGTTGATTCGAACTGATCCTGAACAGAGACTGGCAGTGTGTCAAAAGTATGAACACACACCATTGAAAACAGCATACAGTAGGCTACAGCAGTGGCTCTCAACCATTCACCAAAATCAGTTTTTGTATTCCTCACTTCACGTTTGTCATGAAGACGTTGTGAGATAAAGTTGACAAATTTGTTTTTCATTCACACAGTGGCTCTTAATTGTCAAAATATTTGCTACGAATGCAAAAAATAGAAAATCTTATTTCTTTTTAAATGATGAATTTTCTGAAGCAGTGTGTAAATAGGATTAACACTACATTAGGTCATTTTTTTATGCACTAAAATTTCAGACGGAAAATGTAGGTAAACTGTTGCATGATAATTTTAAGTATTGGTGACTGCTACTGGCTTTTATCAAAGACAAGTCTTGACACTTGTATAGTATTGAATGGGGAATAGTGTAAATGTCAATATGGCGAATTAAGCCCCGCCTATTAACCAAGGAGCCAATCGGCAATCACTATAGAAAAACTTTCATCGGGTAAAAGCTTGGACCAGATGTGAGATTTTACGACAGTTTTGATGGTCAACATATGCACTGGAATCTCAGCGATCACTACCTGAACAGACATATTAAATATATCCACATATTTGAAAGCTGTACTTTTAATTGAGCCAAATGCACTTGAAAACAGAAGTTTTTTGGTTTTGTAATTTTTATGAAACAAACGCAAGGTACAATCCATACTGTCACACACACATTACAGCAACTACTTAAACACCCATAAACTTGTAAACATAGTGTTAATGTCATTTCTGGAGGAGATTCACCATCTGGACCAAGTTTTATCTTTAGAAGAGCAGCACAATCTGATGATTATTATCCAGATGATGATAATATGTAGTATGGCCATAAATATGGTTTGTGTCGTTATCTCGTTTCTTTCGAGTGCGCATGCGCAATTGCTCCGGCACCTTGAAAAAATGCTGATTTTGAGACGGTTGTTGTTTGATTTTAATGATGATTCCAAATATGTAATGTAAATGTAAGCTTGGCAAACAGTTTTGGAGAATTTGATGTTTTCCAATTCAGACAGACTGCCCAAACATACTGCCCTAGTGGCGTTTCAAAAATAGCCGCTAAGTGAAATGACTTGCCTTAAAGGGGCTTTGCTTTTATGCTGCAAGGATGAAAAAAAGAAAATTGACCATTTCTTTACTCCCGCTTTCATGTTTTGCAACATTGTTTGATGTTATTTTCACCCACAAGCAAACACTGAAACACCAGTTTTACTATGTGTTGTGTTTTGCCCAAAGATTGTCAGTTTGAGACATGTGATTGTTCATCATTTAGTTGTGATATCCAAACACTGCATCATTTCATAGAGTACATGTTTGGCATCAAAATTTATAAAAACTGTACAGTTTTCATAGCCTTGGGGTAAAATCTGAAGACGTTAACTTCTTTACCAAGTGCGTAATTTTTAAATGAACAATTTCTGGAACAAAACCTGGAAATAAAAGTCACCACGATGATAACTGGGAAAAAAATGCATCACATTTCTGAACAATCTTTATTAATTTGTGCCATACATGAGTCATTTGTGAAAAAAAAAAACTGTCTACAAAACATAATTTTTATGGAACATCACTGTTCAGTTTACTAACACTATTGACATTCATTCCCTTTGCTATGTGCCATGTAAAAAAAAAAAATTAAATGACAATTCAAGAAGAGCCCACAGCCCTCTCCTTCATGTTTTTGGCTCACTTGAGATCGCTTTGCTTCAGTCTCCTGCTATCCTGATCCAGGGGCTGTAGTTCCATCTTTTCGAGATCTCCTTTGACGAAGCTTATTATCTGATTTACTCATGTTTATAAAGAATCAAATAATGCTCGACTGCCTCTGCAAAAATCTGACTTTTCCAGAAAAAGACACGACAAGATTTTGCTCAAATTAAGCTTAAGTTATAAGAAAGCTGCAACTGTATCACTAAGAAATCTAATCCAAGGCTTTTAAAGAACCACCATTTTCTTCAGACCTTTCTGCTATTATTCTTTTGATTACCTTTTAGGTTTTTATTTTCAGTCATGTAACTTCTCCTAAATAAATGATCATTAGCCTGGAAGAGACAAACCACAATACATCTTATGTATTTAAAAGCCTCAAGTGCTATTGTTTGGTGTATGCGCATATTTTATCTGGTCTTTTTCTTCTGCTGTTCCTCCTGGCTGGAAGTCTGTCAGCCGTTTGAGCCGTATGGTTGAAATTTTGGCACACTGATTAGGGTTTCAGTATCCCAGCTGGCAATTATGGTATCAGTGTCTCGAACAGTCCTTCTCCAGCAGCGTTGGCATGAAATAGAAAATTGCTGGTCTTAATGTCAATTATTTATCCGTGCTTGCATTTCAATATCAATTTTTTTACTTGACAGTTTTTAATCAAGGTGGCATGGTGGCTCAGTGGTTAGCACTTTTACCTCACAGGAAGAAGGTCGCTGGTTCAAGTGCCAGTTGGCAATTCTGTGTGGACTTTGCACGTTCTCTCCTTGTTTGCTTGGATTTCGTCCGGGTTCTCTGGTTTCGCCCACAGTCCAAAGACATGCACTATAGGTGAATTGGATGAACTAAATAGGCCATAGTGTATAGAGTGTGTTTGAGTGTAAGAGTGTATAAGGGTTTCACAGTACTCTACTGCGTAAAACATAAGCCGGAATAGTTGGTAGTTCATTCCGCTCTGGCGACCCCTGACAAATAAGGGACTAAGCCGAAGGAAAATTATTGAGTAAATGATTTTTAATAAAAAAAAAAGGACTCAGAAATGATTCAGTGAAACTGCTTTATCCAGTGCGTCTTCTGTCCTCTAAAAGCTTAACTAAAATCTGCCTTCATCCAGTCAACAACAGATTGATGAACGAAGTCCCTTGCGCAAACCTACATGATATTAGCCTGATTCTGGCATGATTCATTTAATGTTGAGTGTTGTGGGAATTTGTGAGCAGCAGTGGGTGCCAGGATATAAAAATCAATCATTTAATGTTGTGAAATGTGTCCTGATAAACAACATCTGGCATGGTGATTGGAGTGTTTAATGCTGTCCTGACAAAAAAAAAGGCATCTTTGGACCTCCACAATAGGTTCGGTCATTTTTGACATGTTTTGTTGTTGTTGTTGTTGTTGTTGTTGTTGTTGTTTTTTAAACAGTAGAACATTCCAGAAGCGATCAGTGACATTGAGAATGAACATTTAAAAACCGACATTTTAACATTTAATTTCCTCCTCCAAAAAGTAATGAAGATAAAATAAATGAACATACAAAACATAAATAAATAATTAATAACTAGTCACGTTAAGGATCTAGACCAGGGGTCAGCATCTATTGTGATCAAAAGTGACATGTTGGCCCTTCTACCACCTAATAAATTTAGTTTGTAGCGGTAAAGCATATTTGCCATTAAATTACATTATTATCAGGGTTCCCGGGCTTCTTAAAAGAATTTAAATTTCAGACATATGGATTCAAGACCTGAAAAGTACTTAAAAACAAACATGAAAGTCCATGAATTAAATTTGAAAGAATTTGAAAGAAAAATGCCAAATTCTTGTACAACAGCACTGACAAATAATGCACATTTTATCAATACCTCAGACACCGCATTTGACTATCATCAGCATTGCATTCAACAAATTTGATTACCCTTCTTTGAACATGACTTTTTAAAATAAAAGTCAAAGTTTTTGAAAATTGCTCTAACATTTGTAACAAATTTTAAGTGTAAGTGAAATGTTAAGTTTTCATGGCTGTGCTGGGGTGGGAATTAAAAAGGTTCTTCTGGGAACCCTGTATAATGACACAATATAGCTAACATTTCTCAATCTCATTCAATACAGGTGAGGAACCCCATTATTTCATATCCAGATCATTGCCCCCTGAGACTAGGCTGCATTTACACTGCATGGTTCAAGTCACTCAGTTACCTTTTTTTTCTCCCATGTGGCACAGATCAAATGTACATGTAAGAAGGAACAAATCACATGAGTTCAGATTTATTCAAATCAGATTCAGGCCTTGTGTATTTGTGGAAAATTATCCGATATGAATCGGATCCATGCCCTTGTGTCTGCAGTGTAAGCAGGTAAATGGGATTTTCACCTGTCAATGTGAAACGCGCATCATTAAAAACCATAAGGACGTCAGACTGACGCTTTCAGAACAGACTTCAGTAGAGTCGCAAACCTTAAATCTCATACACGAGGACTAAAAAGGCTTTTATATTGTCATGTAGCACAAGTATTTAAGCATATTAACAGCAAGAGCAAAAGAGAGCACAATATCTGCCACGTAACCAATTTAAACTAATATAAAACTACTGCATACATCACGT